AAAGTGTGCTATATTTTTAACCAAAAAATGTATGTGCTATTTTTTTAGCACATACTGTAGAATAGCGGTACGCACTGCATATATTTATCACACTTACATATATGCAAGCATTAGAATTTGCATATATGTATCATTGTTAGTGTGCAAGTATATAAAAAGCTTGAAGTCAAGGCTAAGCATATTAATGTAAAATTATAATGGAAAACGACGGCAGGATTTTAGAGGGACTCTGTAATCCCTTTATGAAATGTCACAAAATATGCTTAAACATGACTTCAAGCTTCTTATTTACTTAAGCTGGGAATACATAAAACGCTTATTTGGCTGGCTTAAGTCATCGGCTGGCTTCTTCGGAAATGAACAAAGGAGCCTAGTGTCAAAATCGAACTAAGTCAACCTAAAACTCCTTTGTTCCTCTACGAAGAATCCAGCCGATGACTTATGCCAGTCAAATAAGCGTTTTATGTATTCCCAGCTTTACACCTTTAGTCATTCGAAGTTTTGTTATTAAACGGCATCTCCCGTCGTTACCGTGAAATATAAAGAAATATTTAACTGAAAAGTCACCTTTGTGAACTGTAATACATACCTTTTGCATCATTTGTAAATAAACCTGAACTAAAGTATATTTAGTGGAAATACTTACCTCCGAACTGTAATACTTACCTTTCCATACTTATTTAATAAACTTGAATTAAAATTTGAAAACAATTATTTTTGTGGACAAAAAAATTTATGCGCAACGTCGAATTTTAGGTAACGCTGTAAATTTTGCAAGTAGTTTCCGTGTGGTGGAGGGTATTTAAAATTTTAATAGATACATGGTATATTAAAATATACATATTGAATTTATTCAAATTAAGATTGCTAAGTGCAAGATATCCATTTTACGTTTAACAACACATTAACAGCTTCAGGCCGCAATGGAACCAGTAGTCAACAAATTTGTAGACCAGATGAGTCAGCGCATTAAGAAGTTCCAGATTGTTTTCCATCAGGAGACACAATGCAAACTAGAATAAGCGCCAAATGCAGAAAATGTACTTATATTTTAAAGAAAACCTAATTAGATTCACCCGACCTTTTATTTTTAAATATATAGTTGTATTTTGGCAATATGAATCTAAATCCTCGTATTTTGGGCTATTTTTATATTCATTCCATTAAGCAACTCTCTAAAACGTATTCATTAGTGATAACTTACTACAATTTTTAAATTATAAGCAACAATAAAATAAACATTTATTATTTCAATATTATAGTACAAAATAAATGTACTTATACCTGGTTTATTGACATTACAAACCTTTTTAAATATACTATAACATACATAGTTTCTACATAACATACAAAAGAAATACAAACGGATGAAATAATTATGCTTATTTGGTTATTCTGTTTCGGTTAGAGCTCTCTTTTGTATTTTATCTACAGTTTTAACGTCACCATTATTGAGCGATTTTTGGCTTTCCGAACTTTCAGAGATTTCGCTGTCGCTCGATCTTATATCACCAGACATCTGTAAAGGAAATGAAAATGAAAATACCGGTCGATTTAAAGTGTTTTAACAAACGTAATCCTCTTTTTCCATTAAAGAGAACGGCTCAGTTTTTATACCCTCCATCATTCTGTGGAGGAGTATATTAAATTTGTAACTCCGTTTGTTACTCCTCGAAATACTCATGTAAGACCCTGCAAAGTATATATATTCTGGATCAGCGTAAAATTCTAGGTGATGTCCGTCTGTCTGCTGTCATAACGCTATTTTGGAACGACTTGAGATGGATTGCTAGCATTTTTGACGCATGTGCATTTTGTCAGGAGATATGTTACGTTTGTAATATGTGCCATGTCAGTCCACGTTTTCGTATAGCCCCCGAATAACGGCATTCTCCTTTATTTGACATTTTGATGATTTTAGCGACATTATAAACCGGAATTGTTTCAATTTTTATATTATGTTGGTGATGGTTACTACAACCTATGACTGAAAATTGTCTAAGCATGTTAACGTCTTCGTATATATTTTGATAATATTAGCCATGTTTAGCCAAGACCCCGGAAATAGCTGAAATCAGGGGATACCTTCTAAAAACTCAAATTATCAAAATTTGCCAAAATTAGTTTGAAAAATATTGCAAGAAAAAATAATTGAAATCGGGGGCTATATTTGACATTTCCCAAACCTCAGATTGGCTTTTACTCAACTAACTATTGCTCATAGTCCCCCTTATAACGGTACCTGCGATTTAAGTATCTTGAAGGTTTCAGAAGAATTTGGTTCGGTATTTTATTTTGTATTTTTTTTATTTTTTTTTTTTTTTTTTTTTTTTTTGTATAGTCCACATATTGAACGGCCTCTTTTTATTCGGCATTTCACTGATTGCTTTGAGTTGTCATGGATTGCGCATTATGAGTTGTCATTGGACGGATTATGAAAGAAGAAGGTCCACTTTTTCGAGCCCCAAACAGCTGTGTCGGTCATTTCTGTTTGTTTGAATTTGTTCGCATCTTCCAACTGAAGCCCGATGATGTGAATTGTCAAAATCAGGCCAGTCGTTATTAAGTTGTAAACGTATTAACCAACAATAACCTTCTTTTGTATATTTTGTTCACAAAAAAGCGATTGAACAAAATATGATAAGTCAAATTGAAAAAATGATACATTGTATAAAATTGACAATATAAAGAAAAATAAATTAAAAAAAAGAAAAAAATCTTCAACTTGTTCCCTGATTTTAAGAGTAAATATTTAAAGTTCCTTACTGAGTTTGTCACACTATTATTTTGAAATTCGATTCTACTGACTTTTTTTTCGATTTTTGCAATGAAAACTCTTTTTTCCTGATTTTTTTTTAGCGATTTTGAAGAATTAAATTATTTCGACATCATCTATTCCGTTTCGCCACCACATAATTCGGTACTATACTTCAATGTAACCCGCCTGCAATTTCAGTTCTCAAGAAATCGAGCCAATTAAATAAAGTTAATCAAATTATATTATTCGTATGGTCCACTTACCCAATAAATACATAATATAACAGTTTTGTCAGTTGTCGAATTATACTCCCCAAAAAGACTTCATGTCATATTAGAATTCAAAAATGAAAAAAAAAAGAAAAAGCAAACACTACAAATGTACATTCGAAAATAGTAAATCAAAATGGAAAAAAATCATTCAAAATAAAACATTACGATTGTACATTTTAAAAGTCAAAATAGAAATGTTGAAATATCACATTTTACGCGATTTTTTTTGAATATTATCCTTTTTTGCAAAGAGAAAATTCCGAATTTGTATGAACCGTTAAAATTAGACCACCAGCAATAACATATATGAAATTGTTTTTCGCTTCCAATTTCTTATTACCATATGTTTGAAGCAATGTAAAAAAAGTAGTAGACAAAATAATTTTCGATCGAATGCGGTGATCCAAAAATTTACAGCGATCGAAATATTTCTCTATACGAAACAGAACTCGATGACGAATTCGGTGATTTGACCCCAGGTCGGGTTGGCGAGAGAGCACAAGAGAGCGACCGAGTTTCTGGCAGTATTCCTGTAGGTTATGCCAAGATGACTGCGCTCTTAACACATGCCCCAGGTTTCGCGAGCAAACCCCATACCAACCATATGAAACAATAGAACGGAGAGGGTACTGCCGTAACTGCCTGGCAAGGAGTTATTTGGTACCAGGGGCCAAATCACCGCAGTCGAAATCGAGTACTTCAGCATCGTAATGTAGTTTACGCGGATCACCGCGGTCGTTAACGAATTGTTTTTACTCGAAGTTGTATACGATAGGTAGTATGCTGTCGAAAACAAAGTATGTAGTGATCTTTGTGCGGAAAAAAGGCAAACAAAAAGAAATAAGAAGTTGGTGAAATTGTTAGTTTTATTCTATTTTAAATAAAATCACTTACGCCACTTCAGGCAACGACTAAATTTATCACGAATATTTTTCCTTATTAATGCCACTTTGTACTCATGCTCTGAGTCCGAAGACGAGGAAAGCGAAAAAAACACTTGCATTCATAATATATTTGTACATGTACATGTAAACACACAGAAACAGTATAAATTTCTCAGAAATAACATATTTTGATCGCAAAAACTGATTTTGAAACACTCTTTCGCTTCAAATGTCTTATTACAGCAATGTAAAAAAAGTAGTAGACAAAATAATTTGCGATCGAATGCGGTGATCCAAAATTTTACAGCGAACGAAATGTTTCTCTATACTGAACAGAACTCGATAACGAATGCGGTGATTTGGCCCCAGATTGCACCAGTTTGACGGGCTGTCGAAGGTGTGATTACAGACACCACACATTAATACATGGGGCACCGCAAATAGACAACAACCTACAGCCAGTACCCATTGATTTACCACCTTTCGTTTGGGACTTGGTGTTTGTCCCTACTATCCCTTTTGCGAGTCACAACTGATAGTGTCGATACATGGAAAAGTGTGCGAGCCCTAATTTGCCAATCGTCATCAATGTCAAGAATTGCCTATTCAGCATTTCAACGACTGGGGCTTAGGTCATTCATGTACCAAAGCAAACGATTTGCAACCTTTAAAATAATGAAGAGGCTTGAGGAGGAATACATAAAACGCTTATTTGGCTGGCTTAAGTCATCGGCTGGCTTCTTCGGAAATGAACAAAGGAGCCTAGTGTCAAAATCGAACTAAGTCAACCTAAAACTCCTTTGTTCCTCTACGAAGAATCCAGCCGATGACTTATGCCAGTCAAATAAGCGTTTTATGTATTCCCAGCTTTACACCTTTAGTCATTCGAAGTTTTGTTATTAAACGGCATCTCCCGTCGTTACCGTGAAATATAAAGAAATATTTAACTGAAAAGTCACCTTTGTGAACTGTAATACATACCTTTTGCATCATTTGTAAATAAACCTGAACTAAAGTATATTTAGTGGAAATACTCACCTCCGAACTGTAATACTTACCTTTCCATACTTATTTAATAAACTTGAATTAAAATTTGAAAACAATTATTTTTGTGGACAAAAAAATTTATGCGCAACGTCGAATTTTAGGTAACGCTGTAAATTTTGCAAGTAGTTTCCGTGTGGTGGAGGGTATTTAAGATTTTAATAGATACATGGTATATTAAATATACATATTGAATTTATTCAAATTAAGATTGCTAAGTGCAACATATCCATTTTACGTTTAACGACACATTAACAGCTTCAGGCCGCAATGGAACCAGTAGTCAACAAATTTGTAGACCAGATGAGTCAGCGCATTAAGAAGTTCCAGATTGTTTTCCATCAGGAGACACAATGCAAACTGGAATAAGCGCCAAATGCAGAAAATGTACTTATATTTTAAAGAAACCCTAATTAATTTCACACGACCTTTTATTTTTAAATATATAGTTGTATTTTGGCAATATGAATCTAAATCCTCGTATTTTGGGCTATATTTATATTCATTCAATTAAGCAACTCTCTAAAACGCATACTTTAGTGATAACTTACTACAATTTTTAAATTATAAGCAACAATAAAATAAACAATTTACTTATACCTGGATTCTTGACATTAAAAACTTTTTAAATATACTACAACATACATAGTTTGTACATAACATACAAAAGAAATACAAACAGAGGAAATAATTATGCTTATTTGGTTATTCTGTTTTGGTTAGAGCTCTCTTTTGGATTTTATCTACAGGTTTAACGTCACCATTATTGAGCGATTTTTTTCAGAGATTTCGCTGTCGCTCGATCTTATATCACCAGACATCTGTAAAGGAAATGAATTATCAATGAGACTGCAATGTGTTCTTAAATCAAAATGCTCACCAACCCCTTTTGTAAAGAATTTATTACAATCTTAAGTATCATGTACGTCCAAACAATGTGAAAGGCAAGCAACATAATGAGTAAAGTGTTGAAAATATTATACGCTGGGAACATTGGAAAAATCCTCGGCGCTTCATATCATATAAAAATCAATTGTTGTTTGTTGGTAACGGAATCAGTTGAAAACGGCTGGACCGATTTGCATAATTTTTTGTACAAACGTTTGTCATACCCCGAGTTAGGTTTTTAAAGAAAAAAATATTGACCACGCCTCCTTTTACGCCCACTATTTCGATTTATCTAAAATCCTTATATTTCCCAAATAAACAAGATATTGGTTTAAAAATTATTGCACGAGATACTGTTGACCTTCCCTCCAACCTTAAGTATTTGTTTGGGGGCTGAGGAACTGACCACGCATACTTTTTTATCTATCTATACATCTATATATATAAATGAAAGTTGTGTTAGTTACTACGCTTATAACTTAAGAACCGCTGAACTGATTTTAATGATTCATACAAATTCGGAATTGTCTCCTATCCGAAAAGGATAATATACAAAAAAAAATCATGTAAAATGTGATATATTAACATTTTCATTTTGACTTTTGAAATGTACAATAGTAATGTTTTATTTTGCATGATTTTTTTCCATTTTGACTTACTTTTTTCTAATGTACATTTGTAGTGTTTTTTATATTTTATTTTTGAATTCGAATATCATAATATCAATTTATTTAATTGACTTGATTTCTTGAGAACTGAAATTGATGACGGGTTACATGGAAGTGTAGTACCGAATTATGTGGTGGCGAAACGGAATAGATGATATCGAAATAATTTAACGCGGTCACACCAAAGTTAGAAGATAATAACCTTTTTAAAATCGCTAAAAAAAAAAATTACGAAAAAAGAGATCTCATTACAAAAATTCTCAAAACGGGAAAATATCGAAAAAAATGTCCAATGGAATTGAATTTTAAAATAAAAGTACATTCTATTGACAAACTTTGTAAGGATCTTTAAACAGTTGCTGTAAAAAATCAGCGAACAAGTTGAAGATTTTTTCAATTTGTTATTATTCTTTTGTCATTTTTTTTTTTCAATTTGTATTATCATATTGAATTCAGTGGATTTTTTGTGAACGAAATAAAGAATAATTTTTCACTATATACAATTTTTCACCAAAAAATGAAATAAGTGCGAAATACGATTGTAACTAACATCTACCTTTTAACTCCAGGGCCTACATCGTGCTTCAGCTGGAAGATGCGCAGACATTTAAACAAACAAAAATGACCGAAAAAGACTAATGGGGCTCATTTCAAAGCGTGGACCTACTTCTTTCGTGTGACAATAATCCGTCCAATGAGAGCTCAAAATGCAAAAATTTTTGGGACTACAATCAGTAAAGTACCAAATATAAAGGGTGCAAAATAGTAGAGCGAATGGGACTTTTAGTAAGAAAAGGATTTCTATCCTTCCAAAAATTCTTCCCGAACACTTAAGATACCTTAAATCGCTTTTGCATGACCTGCAATATGATATATGATATCGATCATAAATAACCATTGTATGATTTAAGCTATTTTTGAAGTCTTCGTCATTTTCTTCTATTTTTGGCCAAATATCTTTGTTTCTAAGGGAGTAGAAAATTCTCGGAGTAGGGCCCATATTGATCTTGACCACTAAAAAATTGTATTTATGCTACCCTGGCGTAAGGAACCATCGTACAGATAATTGCCACATAGAAATTTATTCATGTAAAGTCCCCACATTGGAGTATCCCAAGTCCACTTTCACATCTAATGTGTGGTCAGAAAAGAAAATTTTGTATTCTATTGAATTTGTAACCCCCAAGAGAATATTGGTTGGGAACGTAGATATAGATGTACATCCCAAATCAAATAAATTGTGAAAAACAAGAACAAATTATAAATATAAGAAAGTAGCACGTGACCGAATATTTGTTGAATCGTCATTGAATTATACTATGATGAAAAATATGGACTTTATGGCGTCTCCAATTTACAATTTAAATGACAAATAAAATTAGTTCTCATCTTACGGTAATTGGAGTAAAATAGTAATTATATTTGATTATCCTGAAATCAGTCTGCCCTCAATTATGAGATGGATAAAATTATTTTTACTTATTTAAATCACGTGAATTTTTTTCAGTTTGACATGTTATGTTGTTCTGCTATATTTTCGATTTGGCCTCTATTTGTCATCTTGGATTATAAGGGGTGAAGAAAGTTTTCAATGTAGGTCGATGTTTCGCAGTAGTGCCCATATGAAGGTACTTCCTGATTTTACCTTATTTCAAAGGATTTGGCTAAAAATGTGTATTTGGGGGAGTGAAAATCGTACACAAAAATTTCAACATATCTACAAATTTTAGAATTTTCTCCATGTAATAGTACCCCCACAAGTCCACCTTTTGGCGGACTTATGAGAACTCTAATGCACAATCTGAGGTGTTAATGGGTTTAAAAAAGTAATTAACTTTGGCTATTCTTAAATCATTCAGCCCTCAATTATGAGGTGTACAAAATACAGTAAATTCCAAATTACTGCTCATTTGACTAAAAACTAAAAATTAATCGACCAGTACATGAACACTTATAACAGTCATATCTTTGAATAATTAGGCTTTGACAAATATGCATAATAGACTAAAACTACGGGCCGGCAACGCGGACCGGGCCAGCTAGTAAATATATATATATATATTTATATATATATATATATATATATATATATATATATATATATATATATATATATCTATATATATATATATATATATATATATATATATATATATATATATATCTTCTATCTATTCTATTTCTATCTATATATATATATAAAAATCAATTGTTGTTTGTTGGTAACGGAATCAGTTGAAAACGGCTGGACCGATTTGCATAATTTTTTGTACAAACGTTTGTCATACCCCGAGTTAGGTTTTTAAAGAAAAAATATTGACCACGCCTCCTTTTTACGCCCACTATTTCGATTTATCTAAAATCCTTATATTTCCCAAATAAACAAGATATTGGTTTAAAATTTTTTACACGAGATACTGTTGACCCTCCCTCCAACCCTAAGTATTTGTTTGGGGGCTGAGGAACTGATCACGCATACTTTTTAATCTATTTATACATCTACTAGCTGGCCCGGTCCGCGTTGCCGGTCCGTAGTTTTAGTCTTTAATGCAAATTTTGCATAGCATAATATTTCACAAATCTAGCTCATATTAAAATTTAAATATTGATTCGACTAAATAGAAATAAGTAACTATGGAAGGAGGGCAAAATAATTTCTGAATAGTCAAAGTTAATTACGCTTTTACACCCATTACCATAGCACCTCAAATTGCGCATTAGAGTCCCCAAAAAGTCTATGTTCTTGTTCATAGTAAAATTCAATGACGATTAAACAATACCCGCGTTGTTGTCCGCCAATCGGCAAACATCACTATAGATCGGCGGGCCTGGAGACTATATGGGGACTGTACCAAAATATTTAAGTATGTTGACATTTTTCTGTAAGATGGTTCTCTATTCACAAAGTAGCCTAAATACAGCAATTAATGGCCAAATCAGTTGAAAAACGTGGCCAACACCACGGTCACAGCTGAAATCAGGGATACATTTATATAAGGGTTATACCAAAACGTGGCCTAACCAATATTCGCTTGGGGGTTACAAATTCAATAGAAAACAAAATTTTCTACTAGCTGGCCCGGTCCGCGTTGCCGGTCCGTAGTTTTAGTCTTTAATGCAAATTTTGCATAGCATAATATTTCACAAATCTAGCTCATATTAAAATTTAAATATTGATTCGACTAAATAGAAATAAATAACTATGGAAGGAGGGCAAAATAATTTCTGAATAATCAAAGTTAATTACGCTTTTACACCCATTACCATAGCACCTCAAATTGCGCATTAGAGTCCCCAAAAAGTCTATGTTCTTGTTCATAGTAAAATTCAATGACGATTAAACAATACCCGCGTTGTTGTCCGCCAATCGGAAAACATCACTATAGATCGGCGGGCCTGGAGACTATATGGGGACTGTACCAAAATATTTACGTATGTTGACATTTTTCTGTAAGATGGTTCTCTACTAACAAAGTAGCCTAAATACAGCAATTAATGGCCAAATCAGTTGAAAAACGTGGCCAACACCACGGTCACAGCTGAAATCAGGGATACATTTATATAAGGGTTATACCAAAACGTGGCGCAACCAATATTCTCTTGGGGGTTACAAATTCAATAGAAAACAAAATTTTCTTTTCTGACCACCAATTAGATGTGAAAGTGGACTTGGGGATACTCCAATGTGGGGACTTTACTTAAATTAAGTCCTATGTGGCAATTATCTGTATGATGGTTCCCTACCCCAGAGTAGCATAAATACAATTTTTAGCCAAATCAATTAATGAATGTGGTCAAGACCGAAATGGGCCCTACTCTGAACATTTCAAACTTTATGCGAAGAGGTTCTCCACCTCCTTAGAAACAAAGATGCCAAACAATGGCCAAAATATTAAAAAAGTGACCAAGACACCAAAAATAGCTTAAATCATACGATGGTTATATAAATATGAAATCGGGTTGTACCCTTATCCGTGAATTATGATCGATATCATGAACGGCAAAATCGATTTAAGGTATCTTGAATGTTTGGGAAGATTTTCTGGAAGGATAGAAATCCTTTTCTTACTTAGAGTCCCATTCGCTCTACTATTTTCCACCCTTTTTATTTGGTATTTTCTGATTGTACATTGGACGGATTATTGTGAAAGGAAAGAAGTAGTTCCACGCTTTGAAATGAGCCCCATTAGGCTTTTTCGGTAATTTTTGTTTGTTCAAATGTGTTCGCATCTTCCAGCTGAACCACGATGTCGGCCCTGGAGTTGAAAGGTTGATGTCAGTTAACATCGTATTTCCCACTTATTTCATTTTTTGGTGAAAATTTGTATATAGTGAAAATTTTTCAATTAGATAATACAAATTGAAAAAAAAAATGACAAAAGAAGAATAACACATTGAAAAAATCTTCAACTTGTTTTGGATATTATCCTTTTCGGAGAGGAGACAATTCCGAATTTGTATGAATCGTTAAAATCAATCCAGCGGTTCTTAAGTTATAAGCGTAGTAACTAACACAACTTTCTTTTATATATATAGATATTGTTGTTTGAAAATAAACCTTTTAAAAATTTGCCTTGAGTGAAAAATATAAAATGGAATTTTACAAAAATCATTTCTTGCAAGTGCTTTCAAAATGAACATTTTACATATTAAAAAATTGCAATGCCGTCAAATGGTGTAAAATGTTCGGGGCTCTACTTCATTCCCAGTAACCTCAACATTTGCTATGAATAGTTTTAAAAATTTTAAAGAGAATTGACTGATATAAATCATCTCTATGGAGGGTATGCCATTTCAAACCTACGAATACTATTCAAACAGTAAAACAAAAAATCCTTTCTTTAAACGGCATGCAATGTAGTTTGAAGAGGATAAATTTGAAGAAAATGTATGTAAAAACAAGTAAAAAACATTAAGTTCGGCCGGGCCAAACTTTTAATACCCTCCACCTTAGGGTAAAAGAAACATTAGAAGAAATGTGGCAAAAACCATTAAAATGCCGAATATCGGGAGGTACCGTTATATGGGGGCTACACCAAAACGTGGACCCATAATTACAATGTTTCGCTACACATTAGGACCCACAAATACCAATTTTTAGACAAATCAGTGAAAAAATGTTGCAAAAACCATCAAAATACCGAATATCGAGATGTACCGTTATATGGGGGCTATATCAAATCATGGACCCATGCATGCAATATTTCGCCACCGA